TGTCTCTTACGTCCACATCACCCGTGCCGTTCTGAGGGTCCCTTCTCAAGGAGGCAGGCACAAGGTCTTCTCCACCTGTGGGTCCCACCTCACAGTTGTGGCACTCTTCTATGGGACCATAATATTCGTGTACATTCGCCCCTCATCCACCTACTCAGTGACAAAGGATCGTGTGATCACTGTCATCTACACAGTGGTTACCCCCATGCTGAATCCTTTTATTTATAGTCTTAGGAATAAGGACATGAAGCAGGCCTTGAAAAAGCTGATCAGGAGAGTAGAATAGCAAAACCCATATATGGTACTTCTCAGCATTCATTCATTCAATAAGAACCCATGAAACACCTGCTATGTGCCAGGAACTGTACTTAATGATTAAAATATTGCAAAGATACCTCAATCATAGCTCTGTCTTCAAAGTTAATCACAGTCCAGTGAGGGGGAATGAGACAATTACAATAGAAGGTTATTATACTTCTTGGTAAAAATAATATGAGACACAGATATTGATGCCTTACTGTATTAGACACATAGTTTACTTTTTTCTCTTGCGGTCTCTGTCTCATGTTTGTCACAGATGTGACCACTATTGTGTAAAATATCCTGATGAAAAGCAGGAAAAACTTCTGTATGGATTTTTTTTAAACCATTAGGATATGGGTCAGCTCCTAAGAAGCCTCAGTAAGTCAATGTCCTCATCATATGAGTTAATCATCTTAGGCACAATCCCCTTGGGTCTAGCTAGTAGATTTTCTTGTTACTTTTAGAATAGCTCATAACTTCCCCAAAGCTGTTCACATATTTTTCAGAGAAGGCAGCTTCACCAGTATGGTAATAAGACCCTAAGATTATGACGTCAAGCACTTACGTTACAACTCAGTCCCACAAATTGTGACCATAATCAAGCCACAAAGTCTACTGAAGTAGACAATTTTCTTCACCTACATAATGCATACAAAAAGTAATCTCACCATGTGGTTGTGGGTGTCAAAGGAAAAATTCCAAATTTAACAACTTTTGATTATTTACTTAACCCCTCTGAGCTTCTGTTCCCTAGTTCTGAAATTATACTGCTTGTACTGGAGGCCCAAATCCACCATCACCAACTCTGATCTTGGGCAAGTACGTTAACCTCTCTGTCCCTCAGTTGTCATATGCAAAGTGGATTGTTGTGAGGATTGAATGATATAACAAGTGTCCTAAGACGTATACTATTTCTGTTTTAAGTATTTGGAATAGTGTCTTGCACATAGCAAGCTCCAAATAAATTTCAGCCATTACATCAAAAGTATATGAAAGTGTGTCTATAGACCCTTCCCAAATAACGTTCGAAGTTTTGTAGTGAAGTGGGAAATAGTCATATTGGAGTGAACTCACTCCAAGTGAGTTCAGTCTAAGTGTCTCCTGAAACTATTTCAGTATTTCCAAGTGTTTCACTATAAATGATCCTGTCCTTAGGACCTTATAACTATGTTGTCAACATTTTTAAGAATTCCAGTGGGTACAGAGAAGGCCTCCCCAATATCCACAATAACAAAATGTCCCCCAGCCTCCTTTTTCCCTCCCTCCTCCCTCCATCCCATCTTCATTTCCAATAATGTTCAAATAATTCCTCTATCAAATAGAACCTTCATGAGGAATGCTGTTCAGCACTTCAAAGTTCTGATATACAATCTAAAGCTGTGAGATATGAAGGAGACAAGTGAAGAAAAGATGGGGGACAAAAATATAACTTTACCCAGGAAGAACTAAGGGGACTGGATACAAAAGAGGGAGGGGGGGAAATGTAGGAACCTTCCTGCAGAGGAAAAGAGAAGTTATGGTAGATGATTACATTGCTCTCCAAAGAGTACAAGCTTTCAGGGGCTCCTGGGTGGCTCAGTCATTTAAGCGTTGACTTCAGCTCAGGTCATGATCTCACAATTAGTGAGTTTGAGCCCTGCGTCGGGTTCTGTGCTGACAACTCAGAGCCTAGAGCCTGTTTCAGATTCTGTGTCTCCCGCTTTCTCTCTCTCTCTCTCTCTCTCTCTGCCCCTTCCCTGCTTGTGCTCTCTCTCTCTCTCTCTCTCTCTCTCTCTCTCTCTCAGCTATAAGATGAGTAAGTTCTGGGATCTAACATACAGCCTGGTGATGACCATTAACAATATCGAATTATAAACTTGCAATTTGCTGAGAGAGTAAATAATCTTAAGCATTCTCACGACAAAACAGAAATGGTAACTCTGAATTGATGGATGTGTTTATTGTGGTCATCATTCCACAAAGCATATGCATATCAAATCACCATAAATATGTACAATTCTATAAGTCTAAAACTAGAAAGATTCTGATTTCCAAAATGAAAAGCCCCAATGATGTTACGTAGGACACTGTGAACCTTTCTTACACATTGGTGAAAAAGAATGACCTGTAGCTACAACTTTCCATATGAATGAATGGCAACAACATAAAATTGAATATGGATGGACCTAGAGAGCATTACGCTAAGGGAAATAAGTCAGACAGGGAAAGACAAATACCATATGATTTCACTTATGTGTGGAATCTAAAAAGCAAAACAAATGAATAAACAAAGGAAAAGCAGAATCAGACTGTAAATACAGAAAACAAACTGATGGCTGTCAGGGGGGAGGAGACTGGGGAGTGGGCAAAATGGGTGAAGGCAAGTAGGAGGTATAGGCTTCCGAAAGTCATGGAATGAATAAAAGGTACAGTGTAGGGAATGTGTGGTATTGTAACAGCATTGTATGGTGACAGATGCTAGCTTCACTTGTGGTGACCACGGCATGACGTATAGATTTGCTGAACCACTGTGCTATACCCCTGAAACTAATGTAACATCATGTGCCAACTATATTCAAATAAAAATTTTTTAAAAAAACATAAAATTGAGTGAAAGAAGCTAAATGATTCCATTCATGTAAAAGACAAGAAGAGGCAAATATAAACAATACATGATTTTCACACATAGACATAACTGGTAAAACCATAAGAAAAGTGTCCCATGTGTTTTATATACTCATTTTTATATATGATTTATTTTGCAATTTATAAAATTTAAAGGAATTTTGCATGCAGAAGCCTCTATTACTTCAGTAGGTTTTTATAGATGAGCCATCTCTCTGCCTTCTAGAGTCACAGGAAACACATCTGTTCATAGAACAGTAAGAATCTGAAGACAATGTGTAGCCCACCCTACATCAAACCTGTCCAATTCACTTACTATTATTATTTTCTGAGAAATAATAGGGTTTCTTTAAGAGGATTAGAATCTGATTAGAGTACACACTCCTTGGCAGATTAGGGTGGGGGGAGAAGGCAACCCCTCCCCCGCCCGTGCCCAGGGCAAGGGTACCAGGTGTGGTACTCTCAGGAGTCACAGACTTGGTCACTCTGAGACAAAAGTGCTCCTGACACTATTGAAACTCACAAATCCAAGGCCCAGAAGGGCCAGCTCGGAGGTTGGACATTTGCCCCATTTTGTCTCTAACTAGGAGGTTGGGGATTAGGTCCCAGGAGATACTCCATGTGAAAAGCCCACAGCTCCTCCTGGCTCCTGTTCCTGAGGACAGGTTGCTCCAGCCCCAAATCTTTAGTTCATGCTGCTGTTACAGAGAAGGAAACAAACTGAGGTTGTAGCAAGTCCTCTTGAAGAGAAGAAGGAAAGGCAAACCAAACTGGCAAGGCAGACAAAACATCTAGTGATGGGGACGGGGCGCCTGGGTGGCTCAGTCGGTTAAGCGGCCAACTTCGGCTCAGGTCATGATCTCGCGGTCTGTGAGTTCGAGCCCCGCGTCGGGCTCTGTGCTGACAGCTCAGAGCCTGGAGCCTGTTTCAGATTCTGTGTCTCCCTCTCTCTGACCCTCCCCCATTCATGCTCTGTCTCTCTCTGTCTCAAAAATAAATAAACGTTAAATTGTTAAAAAAAATATCTAGTGATGGTGACAAAATGTGAGGATGATCAGAATTTCCAGGTAAGACCTGAGGGGGTAGAGGTGGGAGGCATTGGTCACACACAAACACCTCCTCCCCTATTCCTTCCTCCTTTCCTGTCCCTTCCTCACTCTCAGCCAAATAGAACCTGGCTCTCTTAACCACCATGAGAAAAGCTTTGATTTGATATCCATGAATTCCCTGAGTGTCCAGCCTGAAGTTAGTGCAAGTGGTCCCCAAGCCCCCGGCAGTGGCCAAGACATGGTAGCTGTGCAATAACAATGCTGAGAACCCCTGGATTGTGCATAGACAATTCACTCCTAACCCACTGGATTGTGAATGGCTTCTGGAATCAGTCTATACCATCATCCAAGGAGTGAAATAATCTCCACAACAATTAACAGGTCAACAAGTCCTATCTCTTTTTTTTTTTTAATTTAAGACTCAGAGGTATATGCTATTTAGATTTATTTAGGCTCATTTTACAATTCAGGTTCTAGAAGGTAAATGATTTGACCGAGATGGTATGCCTGGGATTCAAACCTGGGCCTATACATGTCACAAGTCCAAATGGATGCTCTGTCATGGTACTACTAGGTCAGAACCATTGCCATCCAAGGTCACAATGGTGATATTGGTGACTATGGTATTTACAACTCTGTGAAACTTTACAGTTTTCAGAGCTCAACTTCCCACAGACAGGGACCAAGAAAAGTCCAATTTTCTCAGGACTGAGGGAGTTTCCTGGGAGTGAGGTGTTCAGTTTTGAAAGCAGAAAAGTCCTGGATAAACACAGAGGACTAGTTGGTCACTCCAGAAGGCACCTTTCTTCTGTTAAATCCATCAGGAGTAAACAATAATCTCATGAAAATCTACTATTTGACAAGCAGTTGATATAAGTCAGTCACTGTTCTAGCTCTTTACAATCCTTACCTGATTTAATCCTCAACAAAGTTCTGATTTCAGCATTATTACTCTCATTAAGCAGATGCAGAAACTGAGGCCAGAAAACCGTGTAGACCTGTTCAACATCACAGCGCACAAGGAGGCTGGTGGCCCAGTGAAGGTTTGTCAGACCCAGAGGCAACGTATCTCATCACCACATCATGACATTTGCACAGGCTGGCGCTGACTGTGTGTGTGTTCATCTTTCCATACCATCCAAATGCACAACATAAAATCTCTCCTTGGGATTTTCCATCCAAAGTTCCTGAAAAAACCTTTAACTGATTCTGGTATTTTCATGCTTTCAACAGTCTTATATGATAGGTTTATGTCCACATCTTACAGGTGAAGAAAATGAGACTCAAAGGTTACAGACAATTTACCCAAAATATAAAAAGCAATGAGGGC